CGGGTTGGGTCGGGCGGGTTTGGGCGGTTTTTGTGTCCCAACCCGTGACCCGACCCAAACCGACCCGCCAAGGGGAAAAAAAACCTAACCCAGCTTAAAAAAATAAAAAAACCGACCCGAACCGATCGGTTCGAGCGGGTTGGGCGGTTTTTTGCCCACCCCTAGTGGTAGTTGTTGGTGGTGGAGGTAGTTGGTCGTGGTGCGACGGTTGCGGGTGGTTGGTGGTGGAGTTGGTAGTGGTTGTGGTTGTGGTTGTGTTGGCGTTGGCGTTGTGAAGGGGCGACGGTAGTGGTTTGGGTGGTGTTGTGACGAGGGCGGGGTGGGATAGTATTTGTAACCAATTATTTGGTTGATTTGTGACCAAATATTGTGAAGGATCGGGACGGGGTGGGGTGTTTGGTGTATGTGACCAACATTTTGGTTCATTGTGACTCATTATTAATCTGTGACCTTAAATTTCAATAATTTGCGATGAAGAAATTTGGAAATATGTGATCTACCGATAAATTGTAATCTATAATTTTTTGATGACGTATAAAATCTTTACTTTGTGACCTCGAAATAATTTATGACCTATAAAATTTTTAATTTGTGACTGTAAAATAATTTGTAACGTTTCAATTTTTGATTTGTAACCGATGAATAAATTGTGACCTATAAAATTTTGGAATTGTGACCGTAAAATAATTTATGACCTATAAAATTTATGATTTGTGACCGTAAAATAATTTTTTATGTCTACAAATTATTGTTTTGCAAAGTACATTGTTATGGTAATGATTACATTTTTAATTTATAATTTATATTAGGAATTTGGTTTATTTTTGCTAGAATATACTTTTCTATATATAGGGTGTGTTTGATACATATTATTGAGGAAATAATGTATTTTAGATAGTAATATGATGATAAATATGTGGTTAAAGTAAGGAAAAGTTATTGATGTGATGAAAAATATTATTTTATTAAAAAATGTGGTTGAAAATGAGTGTGTGTTTGTCTCCCATTATTGTAGAAGAAATGAAGTAATGAATAGCATTTTTTGGAGAATGTGTGGTTGAAATAAAATAACTTTATTGATTTGTGTATAGAATATTTTATTATATGAATATATAATGGAAAATCTTACTGTAGCAAATAATGTTTTGAAATAATAGGAGACAAACGGGGCCTGAGTTATAAAATAATGTATTTTGAAAGAATATATGTCAAACATGAGCATATATTAACAAATATATAAATTGGTTAATTTGATAATTAAGTAGCTAGTAAATTGTTCTGTTTAAATTTTATACTTAATTATTAAAAATTTACAATATGAAAACAAATATATTTTTTTATTTCGTAAACAAAACAATTATTTAATAATATTGCATAGTAACAAAAAGGTTTTAGTACTCATTTAACATGACTTTCAAGAAGCCAAAATCTAGTTTTTAGATTAAGAAAATTTTGAATATGTTTGGATAATTTTTTAAAAGTATTTTATCTTACTAGAAGAATTTTTAGACCAAGCAGGTCTAATGGCATGTTTTGACAAAATTTATGCTTTTATTCTTTTTCTTGTAAATGAATTATATTAGGTCAGCTTCTTTTAAAAATCCTTACGATCAAATAAAGTACTTTTAGAAAACTATCTAAATATGTTCAAAAGCAATTTCTTAGTCTCTAATTTAAATTTTTAGTTTTCAAAAGCCTATCAAACGAGTCCTAGTTTACCTGAAAAATTCATTTACGAGAAGTAAAAACAACATAGCATATATCGACGTACCTATAGATTTAGAGTCAACACCACCATCATCAATACATCACTCTACACCATAGACGGTGGCCAACTCACTTCCTAATTACATAGCAGATGCCTCAATTTTGTGTGCAAATCCTTGGGCATGCATATCAAGGTCTCCAATCCGCAATCGTCGATTTGATTCGAATAACGAGATCACTGTCATTGATCTCAGAATGTCTAAAAAAAAAAATCAAATGCGGTGTCGTTGGCATCTAATTTGGCCAAATGATGGTGATGGTGGTTTGATTGTGACAATGGTTTGTATGGTGGTAGGTTACAATCTGCTTGGAGGTACGAGGGTGCTAATGGGTTGATGTTGTGTCTTTGTACTGAGAATATGTGGTGGTGTGGTGCAAACATCTACGGATGGTAATGGTGGTGTTGAGGTGGTGTGGGGTGGGATGGTGTACAAGAGGTGGTGGTTGTGGTGGTGAGTTGTAGATTTGAAGCGACAACGGCTTTTTGGATAGTGGATGGTGGAATGAGGTCGGGGAGATGGAGGATAATTAGTGACCATTTAATTGGATAATTGTGACTAGTTAATTAAATAATTTATGATCAAAAATAAGTTGTGACCAATTAGTTTCATAATTTTCTAACCGATAAATAAGTCGTGATTAATTAATTTGATAATTTGTGATTGAAAAATAAGTGGTTACCTATTAATTTGATAATTTATAACCGAGAAATAAAGTTGTGACTACTTAATTTGTTAATTTGTAACTAATAAATAACTTGTGATCTATAAAATTGTGTGACTTGTGGCTAAATTTATAATTGTGATCCCACATTTTTGACCTTGTGACCATGATGTTCTCTGATTTGTGACTCGAACGTAATTGTGACCATACATTATATGTTATTGTAATTTAAAATTGTGTCTTCGTGACCGACATTGTGTGGTTTGTGACTAGATGTGACTTTGATCACAAATTATGTGTTATTGTGACCATGGTTTGTTTAACTAAATCATAGATCAAAATTTTTTATCTAAGGTCACAAAATGTAACCATCTAATTTGAAAAAAAAACAACATGATTTTAGAACAATAAATAGAGAAAGTGTGATGTACAAGAGAGAGGAAGAAGAAGTGTAAGAGAGAGAATGTGGGAGGTGAGAGAAACTATTATTAAGATCGTGCTTGGTACCAATAAAAAATTTGAATTAAATCGATATTAAAGTTTACAAATAATTTTAATCACACATTTCATAAGATCCACGACTGTTTAACCACATATTCCATTAACTTTTATTAAAATCTGTTAAAAATCTAATTTTTAATATCTATCAAATCGGGGCTACATGATATATATTAGAAAGAGAAAAGTACGAAGTGTAAGAGAGAGAATGAGAAAGTGTTAAATGTAAGAGAAAAAGAGTAATGTTATTCATTCTTACTTGTGTTACAAATACAGTTTATGTGGCGTTAATGTGACATTAAATGATAGGTGAAATTGAATAAGTCGTTTAATTTCACATTTCATTTAACCTATCACACACACATATATATATATATATATGTATGTATATATATACATACATACATATATATATATATGTATGTATGTATGTGTATGTATGTATGTATGTGTGTGTGTGTGTATTTTTCCTTTCATTCATAATATCTACAAAATGTTTTTTTAAATTTACTAAATGCGAAAATTTATAAGTAAAATATTATAGTTATGTATTTTTCCCTTCTACAAGATCAAATATTAAAGGAGTATTCAGTCCCGACCCACTCAACTTGATCCTAAAAAGCCTGGGACCAGGGTTAAAAGCCTACGAGCTCAATACGTAGGGCCAAACACAAGGTGGGTTGTGGATTGCATCAACACTTGTCCCAATATTGGGAAGAATAAATAACTCAGGTCTTAACTATACTCCAATTCAATTTTAAGGGAAAATGTTTAAAATTCAAAAATCGGGTCGTAATTAATAAATATTATATATAAAATATTATGTTATATTATATATCTAATAAATATCCTTCTTAATATCTCAAACCACTCCAATCTCTCCCTACAGACTTCTCTACTCACACTATGGTGGTAGTACAAATCTTGATAAAGTTATCAATTTGAGATCCATGAATACAACATCTCAAGGGCGGCTTGTTTGAATTTTTAATTTAACAAAACATTGACGAGAATTGAGGAATTATCTAATTGAACTTTACTTGACAGATTCTTGGTTGTATGATTTAAACTAAATGTAAACCGTTACATGTGATGTAGATCAAATAGTCTGTGATCAGTTCTCTTGGATCTATGACTTTTGGACATTAATTTGTTACCTGTTATATTGATCCAATGACCTGTGATCAATTCTCTTGGATCTGTTACCCATGCAAGATGACTAATGACATCTGAACTGTTACCTGCGACTTATAACATATGAATTGTGACACGTGAATTTGAATCTGTAACTTGTTATCAGTGCGGAAAGACATGTGACATCTGATCAGTGACCAGTTAATATTGATATATGACATGTTGACATTGATATGTGGCCTATACAATATGACATGTGACATGTGACCTATATAATATGACTTGTGACCTGTAAGCTGTGACTTGTGAACTGTAACCTATGAACAAAAAATAGTGATCTTTGATCTATGAACACTGATATGTGACTTATACATAATGACTTGTGATTGTAACATATGAACTGTGATCTGTGATATATTATCAGTGCACAAAGACATATGATCAGTGATCAGTTTATTTTGATATGCGACACCTGTTGACACTAATATGTGACATGTACAACATGGCATGTGAACTGTAAAGTGTGACTAGTGATTTGTGAACATTAATCAGTGATCTGTGACCAATATTTGATCTATAACCCGTGGACATTGATTTGTTACGTATGCACAATGACATGTGAATTGGTACATGTGACCTATGATCACCACTACCAATTCTATATCAACAGATCATTGTGCATAGGTCACATGCACGATCGCCACATGCATCACCACCACCATCGGCATCATCCCTGAACTTAAACGTTGTGATCAACTTTTGTGTTTTATTAGAAGAATAGCAAGCTAGCCACAACTTGTGTATGAAATGGAAGCAAGAAGTTTCTCTTTCATTCATGGAAAAAAGAATTTGAAAAAATGTACTCTTTAATTGAGAATCAAACAAGAGTCGACATTAAAAAATTGACACATTCTTGACAATAAAAATATTTCAAATAGAGGACCCATTGGACAGATAATGACAACATTACATTATGTTTATTATCAATGAGAAGCTAGTGGATTTTTTGGTGTTTTTTCTTGATTATTTTTTCTTCTGAAATGGAAAAATCCACCACTAGATAGATTGACTCATTCTAACGTTGCTGAATGGTGAATTATGCGGTAAATATTTCAGGTTGAAGGGTCAACTATTCACACAACCATAAAGTGAAAGACCACTACCGCCACACCATCACCACTCCATCACCATCACCAACAACCAAAACCCTAAATCCAAATTCAATTCACAAAATCATCCAATATCACATATTAAAATCAAAATCAAGTCACAAAATCATAGATCACCCGACATCACAAATCGCAAGATCCTCGCAGATAAGACATGAGTTAACAAAATTTGGATTGAGAGGTTCGAGCATACTATTAGCCTAGAGATTTATAGATATCAAAGAAAACACAAATTAAAAAATGATTTGTAGAATGCATTTTGGAATAGTAGATTGATGGAGAATATATGGTTAAAAAATAAGAATTTTTTTTGTATTTGTTTGTAATATTATTTTATTAAAGAATATGTTGTTGAAAAGAAGAGAGAAAAATGTATTTTAAAAAAAAATAGAAATCAAACAAGGACATTGAAATAAAGCCCATGTTCGACATCCATTAAATATATTTTTTTCTCAAATTCATTTTCAACCAAATATTCATACAATAAAATATTTTGCACGTAAATTCATTTTTTTTTTAACTTTACATTCTCCAAAAAATACTATTCCAAAACTTATTAAAAAAAAAAAAACCCCCGTTTTAATGAATGTCAAATAAGGCAAAAAAGTCTCTTATAAAACCCCATTATCGACGGTGTTAAGTGACGATTGAATAATGATTTTATTACATGTGATCAGAAGTCGAGTTATGAGGCCAGTTTCACTACATGCTAGGATGGAAGGCATGTGGAGTGAACAATAGCTAAAAGGTTAAGTTCAATATTGTTCACATACAATAAAATCTCTATAAAATAATAATGTTGGGGTCAAGAAAATTTATTATTTAAAAGGGGTTATTAATTTATCAATAAATAAACAATTTATTAATTTATTGATAAATGAATATATTTTAATTTAAAGAGTATTTTATATTCAACGGGTACTCAATACACCTATCTATGATAAACATGATTAAGATGATAATTTTATTTTACTAATTATTTTTTCGAAAAGGGCATTTCAAGTAGTCGTAACGTTAAATGACTACTTGTACAAAATGACAAGAATATGCCAAATATAATACGTGCAATGCAAAAAATTAGGGATGAAGTTGAGTTCAATTTGGGTGCAAAGAAAAATTGAAAGACTTTACATGCATATTTTGAAAAAGAAGCGAATTGAAAATAATATTGTCAAATTAAAAATTTGTTAATTTGTATTTGTATGAACTTTTTTGAATTTAAACAATTATTATTCTACATATTCATCCTTAAAGGGTCTCAAATAAATTATCTTATGCATTTAGCGAGATTATTAATTTAGTACATTGATCCAAGTCGGGACCTAAAAATTCATTTATTGATGTTTTAATGTACATCTTTGTGAAAGATTAAAACATTTAATTTATATTCTTGAAGTTTTTTGTTAGTTGAAATTAAAAATAAATAAGTTTCCAATAAAAAGAAGTAGTTTCTTTTGGTTATTATTAAATAGGTAATACTTGAACACGTTCACAATTTTAAGCTTAGCCCTATTTGATTTGTTAAATTTTCCATGGAAAATGGAAAATATTTTCTCACTTTTGTGCTGTTTGATGGCACCCCACATTTTTATTTTTTTGGCAATGAAAATAAATTTCATAATCAGTTGTAAAAAAAATTCACTTTAATGGGCAATTTTCATGTAAAACGAAACCAAACGAACACTAATTTTTTATTCAAAAATGGTGCAAAAATAGTTTGAGAGCAATTTTTTTTTTTTTATATCCCCCCACGCTCCCCCTTTTCCCCAAATCCAACGAATTCATTTTCTCAAGTTTTTGGTGGGAAATGGAATTCCAGCTTTTTGCATTTTTTTTTTTTTTGGCAATGAAAATAAATTTCATAATCAGCTGTAAAAAAAATTCACTTTAATGGGCAATTTCCATGTAAAACGAAACCAAACGAACACTAATTTTTTTATTCAAAAATGGTGCAAAAATAGTTTGAGAGCAATTTTTTTTTTTTTGGTAATGGTAAAAAATTTCATACCCAATTATAAAAAAAAAATTCATTTTAATGAACAATTTCCATGTAAACGAAAGCAAACCTGAATAAAAAGATCCAAAATTTTTAAAAAAATTCGGGTGAAAAATTATATCAATCAAACATACTTAATTAACAATTTCCTAAAAAATAAGTTCTAGACAATTTTTTTCCCTAGATTTCATTTTCTTTTCACCTATTTTCAACAAGAACTCTTAGCCAAACATGCCATGGAAAAAGGTTCAAATACCTAATTTACCCCTGAATACGTGAGTACTAAAATATGCGAGACTAGGGTTTTAATTGTTATCCTCTCCATTGTTCCCCCATTCCACACTCTTGACTCTTCTCACTCGTTTTGCCTCTGCACCTCTAACACTCCACCGGTCCCAGAGGTAATCAAAATACATATATATGTATACGTGTGTGTTTATATATACTCCATTTTTTCTTGTATTTTTCGGAATTATTACGTATGTGTATTTATATCTATATCCATTAATAATGATTGAGCTTTAGTACCAGATCCTCGTAGATTGTTGATTTTAATACGCATTTTGGTTTTTCAGATTAATTTTTTTATTTAAAAGTTGAATACATGTAATTTAAGGTTCATAGGCTTTCATTGTATTCACGGTCTGGAAATTGGGGTTTTTCACGGTCTGGAAATTGGGTTTTTACTCTGATAATTATGCTAGTGTTTGTTTTCTTTCTAATGCCCCTCTTTTATTTTTTCTTGGAGCAATGTTGTTGTTCGTCAAGTGGTCAATGTAAAAAATGTGGTTAGTTTATCTTTTTTGTTAAATGTGTAGAATGTTTATTGCAGCTGCAATCCTTTTTAACAAGAACTTATATGAATAAAAAGAAAGCCAGAGAAATTAATTCATTATTTTCTAATTTCAGTATTATTTACTGTATGTCAGCCATGTTCTCCTGCCCATGTTGGGCAGGAGTTAATCTATCCGCTGCGAACATGGCGTTGCCACATCAGCGGTGGCTTCTTTTTTTTTTTTTAAATTTTTCAAATGTTTGCTTTGGATTCTTAAAAAGCTTTCCTGCCCACCATTGGCAGGAGAACATGACTGTTAGTTATGTTTATTGCTTCTTTTACAAACTATTGTGAAAGACAAGGTATTAGTACATATTTTTTTTTGGGAGTGACTTCTTCAATTTCATCACATCTAGTTGTCCTGCCTTGGCTTATAATAATGATGATTGTGGTTAAGACATGCCTTTAAGAGTGACTGTCATTGGTGAAAACAATATTTCAGTGTAAAGTTGTGACTGATTTAATCCCTCCGTGTTTTAGGAGGGATAATCATACTTTTGAACTTATTATTGATTTTTTTTAAAAATTTTTGTAACATATGTTTTAGTCTGCATGCTCTGAGGCAAAATTTCATATGATTATTGTCACGAGCTTAAGAGGACCTGCCTGACCTATGGAAGTTTTCTCAATGAAGTATGAAAACATTGGTTGTTAAGATTCCTTTGAAATATGGATTTGCCTTAAAAATTTTCATGTTGAAATAAGCAATCTGAAGACATCTGAAATTGTTAATACTTAATGGGTGATGCTCTATATTTTCAGATGAATGTGGAAAAGCTAATGAAGATGGCTGGTTCGGTCCGAACTGGTGGGAAAGGTACCATGAGAAGGTTTGTGACGCTTTATGCTTATTTTTTCTGTTCATTAGTTGAAGCATAAATGCGTGCATTTTTTTTTTTCCTGAATTACAGAGTTTCACTGTACTCATAAAGGAGATGGATTTTGCAGTAAACTTGATTGTTAGCTTGTCATTTTAGAGTTACTGTTGCCACATCATTTCCATGGAGGAAAACTTGTGGATTTCAAGCTGGGTTGTTAGCTTCTCCCGTGAGACATACTGTTGATACTTGATACCATAGTCTTCTGTACTGGGAGACAGATTTTATTGGTCCTCACTAGTGGAAACGATGATTTTTGTTTTATTTCATTTGTCTCAGTGATTTAACTCCTGATAAAAGGGTTTCACCAAATGGGTAAATTTTGAGGAGAAACAAGGTCCCTCTTGGAAATTATGTTACTTGTCTTCCTCAGCTACATCAACTTCAATTGGTCTTTGTTTAAATCACGACATAGTTTACTGGAAAGTTTAGGCCCTGCAATGCAAGGACTGTATAGGTTGCTTGTTTATGCCTCTGTTTAATATCAATAATTATATAACTATGCCCTTAACTGCAGAAAGAAGAAAGCTGTTCACAAGACTACTACCACAGATGACAAAAGACTGCAAAGCACACTGAAGAGAATTGGGGTGAATGCTATTCCTGCAATTGAGGAGGTGAATATTTTCAAGGAGGATGTAGTCATCCAGTTCACTAATCCTAAAGGTACCACATAGGCTGCTGAAATTATCTCTCCAATTGATTTTTTATTTTTGTTCTTTGGTCCTGACCAGTGTTTCCTTTTGTGTATAGTTCAAGCATCTGTTGCTGCCAACACTTGGGTTGTTAGTGGCACTCCTCAGAACAAGAGTATGTTTTCCTTTCTCTTAATTAAGAAGTTAATATGGGTTTTCATATCCAATGTTATTCTAGCGTATTCTATGATGTGGTACATACTATTTATGGGTATCTTAGAGATAGGTCCTTTTAGTGTTTCTGCTAGTCTCGGAAACTGCGTTTTTTGGTCTATTTTTCATTGGCAAAAATTTGAAACTGTTAATATGAGCATCAAAGGGCTTTACTGATTTTGTAATTGGGTACTTGAGTTGCTTCTTGAATTATTCCTCTCTTCAATTTTCTGTGGTGTTTATTTAAATATAAGGAACATCCTCATGTTCTGTGACACTTTTATTTCCAACTCTCTAAAATGCGTACTGACATTTCTTTTTATTCTATTCTAGAATTGCAAGATATTCTCCCTCAAATTATTCATCAATTGGGTATGCATCCCCTTTTTCCTTACTGATGTTTTTTTGGTCACCCTCGGGAAACTGAATGACACAAGGTTTATTGTGAAAAATTTCAGGTCCGGATAACTTGGAGAATTTGAAGAAATTGGCAGAGCAGTTCCAGAAGCAGGGACCTGGTGCTGGAGCAGAGACAGATGATGGTGTTAATACTGCACCAGAAGAAGATGATGATGATGTGCCTGACCTTGTTGCTGGCCAGACCTTTGAAGCTGCCGCTGTGGAGAGCCACACTTAGGAGTTGAATATCGATTTTTGTGTCATTCCTTATATGTTTTGTGTTTTTGAGCTCAGTTTTTTTTCTCTTCTCTAGTTAATGGTTTGATTGACTCTAGAAAGTTGTTACTTTGAAATTTTTATTCAGTAATCAACTTAATCCTCTACAGTTACTTGGAATTTTTTGTGGTCAAATGATTGAACGTAGATGAAGTTGGTCATTTTATAAGACATTATATGATCCTTTTAATTTCACGACTGTTAAGTCAAAAACATTAATTTTAATTCTTGTAGTAATTTCATAATTATTTTCTCACAATTTGAAGTTCATCAAACATTAATTTTAATTATATATTTAAAATGAATATTCACTTATTATTCTCACATATCATTAGATTTACCATTGTTTTCATTATAATTTTATTAAGGTAGGTGATTTTCAACATTGTTACAAGTTAGTAGTCGGTTGTCCGTGATCACTAATAGTAATGATGTCGATAATTCAGACTATGGCTAATTCGAAATGAATCATCAACACATTAATTTCAAGCGGCGACGCTGACTTTAGAAAGATGGCGATGTCAATTAAAATCATGATGTTGGTGATTCAGACATAATTATCGACAAAAATATCGTTATTGATTATTGGCATGCCTTATAAAAAAACTTGACGAAGACAATGTCTTTAGTGATATTATCTTAATTATCAATAGTGATATAGTCATCGATGAGAAGCTGTTGGTGATTAAAGGTATGATCATTGTTAATTTGACGGTCATATCGATGGTTATCAATGACGACATGACCCCTCGTCAATGACTGAATCATTGTCGATGATTATCAATAATAACATTGCATTGTCGTCGATAATCAATGATGAAGATGTACTTAAATTCAAATATATTTTAAGGCAACCAAAATATGATATTAGATGGAGTTGCACTTCCTTTCCTTTTTTAAAAATAAAAAAATAAAAAAAATTGGTTCATCTTAATTTTGCTCGAGGACTATCTTAAGTATAAGTTTTGAGGCATTTCAAAACCTTGTTCTTGGATAACGCAAGTGTACGATATCATGACAAGTGATATAATAGTGAAGTGGAGTATCATTTCATTGAACTGTTATCATCTATTAATCCGTTGATCTTACTATTTAATTCATCCGATGCTAAAATTAACAAGGAATTGGTTTAACATTAAACTAATTTAAACTAGCCACTAACTACTGTGTTCGACAATCTGGGATTTGAGAAAAAATTGACGATATAAAAGTGTTAGAATTCACGATGTCACCTTAATTATCTTGTTTAATTTTGCTTATCACAAATCATGACAATTATTCCATCTGTGATAACAATCAATTTTATTTAATTTATCTTATTTGATAGTCTATAAGATTATAAATTTATTATATTGCAATGTAAATTCAATAAATTCAGGTGCATTCAACCGCATTTAATTCACAAGCCATCACATAAATTATAAAAGTATATTTCTATCTTCTACCGAAATTCGTGATTTTTATCTTGATGCTAAATTGGTAATTTTCTCTAGGTGTCGACACAAATCGATAGACTATTCATAAGCTAGTCGAATTTATGAAAAAGCAATCAAATCAACGATAAAGATTCAACACGGAATCATAATTAAAGTCAAAACTTAAATTTGATCCAAATAAACTATATCGTTCTTGACAATTAAGAATTTAGATAAAGGAAGAAAAGATAAAATAGATGATGAATCTCAAAACCATGGCAACAATCTTCTTCTTCAAAAACCAGGTTTACAGTTAGGCTTAATAGCATAAAACGTCTCTACTTTTGACATTTCTTGTGAAAAACGTCCTTACGTTTCATTTTTTCGCATTTTTGTCCTTATTGAAACATTTCATTGCGGAAAACATCCTTTTCAGAACAAAACGTCCTTACATTTGACATTTCTTGTGGAAAACGTCCCCAAGTTTCATTTTTTTTTTGCATTTTTATCCTTATTTCAATGTTTCATTGCAGAAAATATCATTTTCACCATTTTTAATGTAAAGTGACCAATATACCCTCCTATTTAAATAAAACAAAAAAAGAGAGAAGAAAAATAAAGAACAAATTAAAATCTTACTCCTGAACTTTTTTAAAAAGTGCAAATGAGTCCAAATAAATATAATTTTGCTCTCTAAATATAAATATAAATGGTACCTATGGAAAGCCCTTAACCGTAAAACCTCACCTTTTTTTTCCCCTAAGTATGAACCTCCCTTGCTTTCATTTCCAATATTTTAATAATTTCTCATGTAAAAAGTGCTTTTCATTTCGAATTTCATTAAGCAGCTAATTATTTTAATTGTGATTGAATTAATCAAACTAAGACTGGGGTTGATCAAATTACCCATGACTTTGGTCTATCAACGATAGTCAAGCACTGCATGTGGAGTCGTACGTTCTTCTTCTTCCTCAAAACGGTCAGCCAATTAAGAATAAATTAATGTTCTTCTTTGATCCTTTAAGCTCAATCGAGAATTTCTAGGTGACGCATTCGGTTTATCGAATACAATATTATCAACCTTAACTTGCCATGATATTAGTTCTAAGAAATATAAATTGCAAATTTAATAAAGTAGATTAAACAATCATGCTATGTGACCAAAAAGTTTGACATGATGTCACGTCGCATTTCAACATTGGACTGTTTTAAATATAGTTAGTTTCCCCCACCCTATTACTTTTCATCACAGCGTCTTCTGTTATTACATCTAAACGGATTTTTCTGACAAAGTAGCATTATTCTATATTAAATGGAATAGGATTATATCAAAACACGAGGGCAGTTATCAAAATCAATCAACGCGATCTTTTTTAAGAATAAAACTTAATTTATGGTTGAAAAATTATCATAAATCAACCTAAGAAAATTCATTTCAAAAGCATTATTGTGTTGCAACCCTCAAAGGGTGCAAGGATGAAGTCAATAGAAGTATTTAATACAGCAGTCAGTTCAAGTTTAGTAATTTAATTAAAAAGAAAGAATAAATAATGATTTTAATTTAAGTATCATTCAAGTTTAATTTGGCATTTGATGAAAAAAATATTTTCTTGTGCACGTGAAGGAATGTGTCCATGACTATATTGAATTAATAAATTTAACTCTTTTTATAATCATTTTAATTATTAAAGGAGACAATTTACTAAAATTCAAAAATTTTAGGGGTTGTTCTCTTTGCCATTTTCAAGCCGTTTTCTATTTTCGATTTTTCAAAACAGTGAACCCGCGTTCTCTTTCCTATTTTCGAAAACGCATTTTTGAAAATAAGTTAGAAATTTACAAAGAAAACTCAGAACGACAATATCGTTTTGGGTGTTTTCAGTTATAATCAAATCAAAATTTTCAAAACGAGTTTTGAGTATTTTTAAAATGTCAAAAAGAACACATTTTTAACAATTTCAAAATGAACATTCAAAATATAAAACTGAAATACAAAGAGAATGTCCCTGTATTCTAGAAACAATCACTTGAACTTTATAGACGCAATGTCCAAAAGTCCGCAAGAAACTCGGTGTTCTAGATAAAGCAAGATTATTTTCAAAAGTCTCTGTTACACCTTACAACCTTTTCTTTTGAATGTTTCTTTCAGGAGTTGGGATGTGACTTTTCAAACAAATTATTCATAATGGGAAACATAGTTTGGAAGCACGTAACTTGAGCAAAGCGATTAGGGTCAATTAATTAGCGGTGTGACTTTTTTTTATAAAACTGCTTATGAGTACCATGCAGACGATCCAACCCACGTTCACACTTGTAATTTAGAATCTACCATTTTCATTGTTCTTTTTCGTATCCCAGATTTTATATTCTTAATTTGATTGGTGTAGCCCATTTAAGAAATAAGCTATGAAAGCTTGGCCCATTTAAGGTTATGAAAGTACAAGCCATAAGTTATTTATAAGCCCAATACTTTAAGACATTAAGTTTAAGTAAATTTGATTTCAAAGATTTAATGAATAACTGAGTTACTACAATGGTCATCTGCATGGTATTTCCTATTGGCCACCTAGGTTCGAATCATCATGCAGATATTTTTATGAAGTATTTTTATAAAATTATTCGTTGGGCTTAAAACTCTTCAAATTCCTAGTTAAAGACTCAATTTCACAAGATTAATGATAATATAACTCTTTTCATTAAAAAAGGGAGGTTACAAGAAGATGAAAAGTATTTTTTAACTACACATTTCCTCAAATCCGAGATTACACTTATTTTCTCTAAAAAAAAAATCTTTATGTTAAGTAAAGTTTGAAAGAATAGCAAGGGTGTGAAGGAGAGTGCACACTTTGATCAAGGAAAAAGATTTCCAAAAGAATAGGAGATGAGCATATTTCTAAAAATTCTGATACCGTCGGGAAGCAACAACAATCATCCAACATTATACTTTCAAAAGCTTTTAACAAAGGTAGGAAGAGGTGCAAGTGTTGGTTTCGTTTTCAAGTTATGATTTTTCCATTTAAAAGTATGAATGTAATGGTACCTTCGGGTACGGTGTTTCGGCACCACTATAGTTGAATGATCATTCTCCGG